CAGTAAAAATCTTTTTTGTAATATGAGGTAGTGATCGCTATATTTAAGAGTAGATAATCCCTCTAAATTAATTTCAATTGATTTTTTTTATGAACATTTTATAAAATTTAAGTTTCATGCTGCTACAAACAATCAACAACATTTAATAGTGTTTCAGTAATTGTAATAAAATTAATTTTAAAATAACTTCTGTTTCCTCTTCAAAACATTATTCTTACAAAAGATATATTACATCAGCATTTTTTTGGGGATACATTTGCTTTCTATTTTTACAGCTAACAGTACAGTGCCAAGTCATGTGTATGTGAAATAATGTAACTGTTGAAAACAGTTTTTGATGTTCTGTTTAAAAAGACAATCAGGCAAACAGTCAGGTTTGCACTCAGGCTCCTTGAGCCAGACTGCCAGCTACACATTAGCTGGCAGCCTTAAAGAAAAGAAAAAGAGTAAATATCTCCACTGTGAGATCAATAAAGTCAATTAATTTCTGGACAACACTGATCTTTAAGCACACAGCTAGGCCAAACCATAAACAAGACAAAGGACTTTACAATCAAAATTAACAACAGGACTGCTCCTCGTTAGTATTAAATAAAGGCAGCAAACAGTAATCAAATTTTATGATGTGTTTTTCATAAAGATATTTACTTTCCATTCCCAGTAGGGCATCACTTTAGACTTAATTACTTTTCATTTTATCCTGAGGTTAAGAAAATGTCTCGGAAAATTTGCTAAATGTTACTGATAACTATGCATTTGTTAGGATAAACTAATGAATTCCCAAAGCAGCCCTTATTCTCATAATTCTGTTTTCTACTTGTCAGAATGAAAATATAGTCCTAATGTGGATAAAAAGCCTGCATCCTTTTTGAATGTTTTTTATGTACTTGGAAGAAGTTAACAATTTTTTGAAAAGGTTGATTCTTTTAACATTTAGATTCCTAGAGGGACTTTTAGACACAACTTCAGGTGATCTTTGATGGAAGGTCATGGGATCTTATTACTCTTTTCTGCAATAATAACTTTTTTACAGCAAAGTTCATCCTTGAATACAGTATTTATTTAATGTCATGAGGCAGAGCTGTGCTCAGTTCAATTTTGTGAGGTATGCAGTGGCCTTCTTCAAATTACTGCTTTGACTAACACTCATTTTAATAAGTGTATGCCCAACACTAACATTACATTACTCAGCCTTTACAGTACTGACACTCACACCCCTGTGACACAGTGAACATGTGAAAGGAAATGGATCATATGCAAAAGTAAGTATTCCCAGTGCAATATCTGGGGATTGATTTGGAATAAAAACTAGTCAGTTTTGATGGGAAGATACAGGGTAATCTTGGTAAAGACAGCAAAGGAGTTTGTTCTAGGTTAATCTTCTAGTAAGACAACAACACAAAGCATTGATTCAAAGTAACAATAGAATGGTTTAATTTTAAATATATTCATGCGTAAATGGATTAGTCAAAGTCCAGATTTCAATATAGTTTAGAGGCACAGCTCTTCATTCAAAACGGCTGTTCTTGAGCGACCTCTCCAGATTAATGATCAGTTTGGCCTCCTGAATGTTCAAAGTTATAGGGGCTGAGATGTGCAAATGCACTGCAAATACATAAATATGCAGCACACAAAAAATTTTACTAGCACACACACACACAAAAAGCAACAGGAAAATTAAAATGAGACTAACACACAAAACCCATGAAAAGGAAAATACTGCACAAGAGAAATGTTGTAGTCAGGGAAAATAGAGACCCGCAGAGAGCAAAGCACTGCAAATACAAAACTCTTGCCAACACAAAAAAACACTCTCATAAAAAAATTGATCCAAACAGTGACAACTACAAAATAATGGGTTAAGGCTTAAATTCTTTAAGGCAGCAGTCCCCAGCCTTTATTGCACCACGGACCGCTATATGTCAGAGAATATCTTCACGGACCGACCGGGTGTGTGGGTTGGTGGGGGTGGGGATAAATATGATCAAGTAAAATGATACGACTGGCATAAAATCAAAAACAAACAGCATAAAAATAAAACAACAAGCCGGTCCCATCTAGGCGTAATCGGAGACAATGACACATGAAGTGTGCTCCTGATGTCCAGTCTGCTCCGTAGCTTTGTTTTGGTCGCTGTAACCGCCGAAAATCCTGCTTCACAAAGATAGGCTATTATAGATAGGATGCGCCTTGAACTGAATTAACCTGTGTCAAGAGGCACAGATGCACCGACTGATGTAATTGGGAGAGAATACCACAATTTTTTATATTTCAAAATAAAACATCACTCAGACTCTGATTGATTTTTTATTTCGATTTTTTTTTTTTTTT